AACATTAATATTCTATTTATAAAGATAAAAAATGCATTGGAAAGTCAATTTAGGGGGCAAATATTGTCCTTTAATGGAAAAGGTGCAGTCTAAGTGGAAGAGAGGGGGGGGGTAGGCCTAAGCAGAAATGCCTCAGGGGCTACTCCACTCTAACAGTCTGGGAACCACTGATGTAGAACATTCTGTCCTGTGCAACAAGTGATTTATTTTATATTTTCAGGTACAGTGGTTAGTTTGAAATAAAAGTTTGTTTAACAGTGGAAATTGAGTCTCACATTATTTAAACATTATTCAAAACATTAATGGTGAACATTTTCGACTTTATAAAATGATTCTCTCAAGTCTTGGCGATTAAACAATAAAGAAAGTAAGACATCTTTTTATTATACATAGTTTAGTAGCCTACTATTCTTTTTGGCAGAACTGATCATTAATCAACTTAATTATTTCCTGGATTCTGTATCACCATAGTCCCTAAATGTATGAAAATGCAGGAAATGGGATTCAAATCGAAAACATTTTCCCCCATTTTGTGTCCCCCCCCCTTCTCAAACCAAAGTTCCATAGTCCCTAAATGTATGAAAATGCAGGAAATGGGATTCAAATCGAAAACATTTTCCCCCATTTTGTGTCCCCCCCACTTCTCAAACCAAAGTTACACCCTTGCGTATGGGTAATGGAAAATGTAAATTTAAATACAGAAATACAATGCCATTTTGAATATTGCGTTGCCATTTTGCATATTGCATTTTAAATTGAATTTCGCTACCTATATGCTTCCATAGGCTTCATCTTCAGCACTGCATGTGTTGTTGTCAAACGTCTGTCTGTGTTTTGACTGTAAAGTGTGTTTGTGCATCTTTCTTTTCTATCAGTGACACTGGCTTTGATATTTTGTATCTAATGCAACAACATTCACACGTTTAAAGGGTGAATTAATTATTAGGATTTTGGGGTCACTGTAGGTACAAAAGCACAAACACTGCAGACTGATGGAGTTTAAACTGTTGGCATGACAACAGTCTCATCTGTTTGTCTGAGTAATCTTGTCTGTGTTCAGTGTGAGTTACGGGGTTAAATCTCTGTTACTCAACACTGCCATCCGCTGGAGCCTTTCCTGCAGTTTTCCTTTGGTTGGGCTTGAAGAATCGGTCTGACTTTCTTCCTAACCACTGTGCTGTGACAGGTTGTCGGGTGTCAAAACTTTCTATCTCCATTATATTTCATTATTATTAATTTAAATCAGTGCTATTGATCATCCTTATGTCTGTTTGTGGGTTTTACAAATATTTAACAAAAGATCTTGTGAGTAAACCTCGTCACTGCACCCGCCTCACAGTCTGGAGACAGATCTCTGCTCGTTCGCAGTGCAAGGGTAAATAAAGGACTGATGTTTGAATAAGAACAGGGTTTTCTTTACTCTAGAAACACTGTGACTATAAAGGCTAATGTTGTTGTGTGTTTGAAGAGCGGAGAAGAGTTAGAGTTGGTCTCTAGCTGTAGCCAATATACTTGTCGATTTTAAATATCCTGTGAATAGCAGTTCGTCTTTAACATCTCATTATAACTGAAGGTGGATGTGATCGCTGCAGAACTCTAGTAATCAGTGAGGACGCTCTGGTTCAGTGTGATGACTTCATTATCCACAGCTGAAGGCAGTAGTTTGCTCACACAGAGTCTTGGCTGTGACTCAAGTACGGCTGGCCTACAAAAATACACCATCACTGAGGCGCTCTGTATGAACATCTGGAGCGATAGAAATACACTGATAGAAATAAAGGACATTGACGGTTTCATGAAGAATCTTTAACATCCATGGAAGCATTTCACTGGACAGAAGCTTCTTAAACAGTTCTTCAGATGAATAAAATGTTCTTCACAATGCTTATTTCAGGAACAGTTCTTTGGGGAACCAAAATGATTCTTCGACGGCATCACGGCGAAATAATGAATAAAACCAATAACACAAACATTTCATTAATAAAACCAATAATGTTTTCTTTATTGTAGTTCAAAATTATATTTATACCAATTGTGTATTACATACAAAAAAATATAGAAGCTAGAAATTGTGCAGGTCATGAGGTCAAGGTCATTCAAATGAAGCTGCAGTAGCATCACGTATCCACTGTGAAGTTTTTCGTTATTTGATGATTTTCAGAAGCACTTTATTTTAGTCCTGTTCTGCACGTACATACTGTGTATTGTAATAATAACCCGGTAATAACTAGGTACTAACTTTCTTTTGGCAAGTACATGGTAAGTGTGTGCACATGCTATCAAATAAAGTGCCAGCCTATTTTCTTAAGTGCAACTGATGGTATATTTTGCTTTTCTTGTTATTCAGTAACTGTGCTTTTCAAATGTTACAATCACAAATAGACGGACGAAAAGTTTTCAATCAATATGTCAAGAACTTAAGTCAATAATTTGGTGTTTAGCTGAGGCCTGGAGTTATTTGACATGCATAATTACCCTGAATAAATCACTGCTGACGCCTGCCATCAAAACCAACTCATGATTATATTACAGTGTGTGTGTGTGTGTGTGTGTCTGTGTGTGTGTGTGTGTGTGTGT